CGCAGTTGGCATAACACATTTTCACAATGATTCAAAAACAGGATTTAAATTTGCCAGAAGTTTAGAAATAACAATGTTTTAAAAGGCTATTTGTGAAATTTTCGTTGAAGTCACGTGGTAACCTGTACGTTGGTATAATTTTAATCACTGACATATTACACATTCAGGAGATAGATATTATTACACAACAACATTGACTGCTTGACTTACTTATGTTTTAGCGTATCACATTTTTTATATCATCAAACGGACCGAAAATTTTATTCAACGCCGTCGCATGTTTCCAACAACCGAAAACGCACATCTTGAAAAATTTTGCATTTCACGTGAAATAATAAGTTAATAACAAAACGCAAAGAAGTAACTTTGTAATACAAAAGTGCAGTAAAGTGGGACCGATAAAACGTATGCAAATGAACTTTCATCTTCAAATTTCTTACTATATTTTAGACGTTGACAAGTTATCCAGTTTTATACGCATATAAGTGGGTACACGAACTTGACTCTCAAGCTCCATAGTAAGGCAGATATAGCATCAGACATCCTTAAGATGGTTCAGAGCAATAAAAATGTTTTTAATTAAACATGTGATCATATAAGACTTTCACCAACATACCTTCCATATTGAAAACTGCAATATTCACAGGATCTTTACAAAACTGTCTCCAACCCTGCCTCGCAGCCTCTGTTCTATAGAACTTGTTTGAGAGGTTCTGTATCATAATTGACAATAATCAAATGGAAAAAGTAGCTCTCATTTCTTCTGCGTCAATCTCCAGAATCTAAAATTGACAAGTAGGAATCATAAAAGCAAGAAAAGTGATATTGGAGATATTTGGAAAGCAGACTGGAAAGTTTGTGTTGCGCACCTGAGATCTCGGGTCCGCAATATGGATCTCCTCTCTATTAAATGCCTCATATCTATGAAACTATGAAACACCTCACACTAAACTGCTAAAATTTTATTATTTAAAGGCCAGGACATTTATCAGATCATTTGTGATGGAAGAATGAGTGGGCAAGATTTTTAAACATAAGGGACAAATTTTGGATTATATAAAGAATATTGGAGAATGCTCGAATTGGACCATTCACAGGAAAGTTATTTTCCAAAATTTGGTCACAAAAAATATGGCCATCTATACATTAAATTCTATGGGTCTGCCTGCAACCAATCCCAGATGTTATTGAACCTATTATCGAGCCTACAAACTTAAAGTACTAAATAGAACATGAAAATAACCATTTTTTAAATTGGTTATTATGTATTTCAAATTACTGACAATCATTCGTCATGACAAATCTTGGATCCACTACTATCTGGCACTTCTTACCTGAACTTTAATGCAAGCCGAATGACTGTTTAGCATTGGAGATTTCATGTTTACACAATGATATGTAGAAAGGTAAAAATCTTGATAAAACATTAACAGCAACATTAATTAGTTACACAATTGAAAAAAATCACTGGTACTTTTATGGATGAGTTAGATTGTTTATGTTTTGTGGCAGTCATATTTAACACAAGGGGGTTAAGCATTGTTTGCTGGTTTTGTCTAAAACCACTTGACCAAATCTGCCTACCAAAAAATGTAAAACAATCTAACTTATCTATAATGTATGATTTTAGAAAGTTGTTGATGTTTTCAATTGTTTTTAACCACACATTTAATTTGGTTTAAGAATGCAATTAGCAAATCTTAAGTAAACATTAAGGCTGATATTATCAGGAACAGCTTTATTATGTGTATTCAAAAATCCTAATACCGCTCGTTATCCAAGTTCTCAGGTGCTCTTTATTTCTTTGGTACGCAAGTCCTGCCGCCTAAGCTAGTTGTGCTGCAATGATCAAATTGGCTTTCTGATCAAATTGCAAGATTGTAGTCTGGTGGACATTTTAAAAACATGTATTTGGCTAAACTTTCCTGTACATTGGATATTTACCTTTATCTTTAATATTCTGGTAGATGCTGAGAGCTTTATCCAGATTTTGTTCTGCTTCATCGTAGTCACCATTTTCTACTTTGCACAAGCCAACATTTTTAAAAGATTCAGCCAATAGAAGATCGTGGCTTTCCTCCTTGCATTACTGCTTTCTCAATTCTTGGGCTTGGATAATAAAATCTAGGGCTTTTTCTTTAATTCCTAGTTCTAAAAAACATAACTCCAAGTCATTTAGTATTTCTGCCTTCTTAAGGTCATCTACTGTAATTTCAATTGCCTCCTTGTAAAGAGTGACAGCTTCTTCAAGTTGTCCAAGATTTCTTTTGCATCTTGCTTTATATGCTTGTACTTGGGCACGTTTTTTGTCATCGCTGATCTCACGTTTGTCGATTTCATTAAAACAGTTCTCTGCGTCGTTATAACGAAAAGTTAAGAGGTAACAGTCTACTTTTTCAGTCAAGTTATCGTACTTTTTGTCAACATTTTTTGGGTCAGCTTGATGGATATCAAGTTCTTTTACGTTGAAACCAAATGAATTGATCGCTTGCAGATGTTCTCCTCGTTCTTTTTGACATTTTGCAATGTCGTAAGAGATCTTGAACATTGTACTATCTCTGCTGACTTTCTTTTGCAGTTGTTTGCTTATTTTGTAGGAAAAAATTGCCTTCTCATGTTCTTTATTTCTTACGCAAGTCCTGCCGCTTTAGCTAGTTGTGCTGCAATGATCAAACTGGTTTTCTGATCAAATTTTACTTTTTCAACAGAAGCCAGTTTAACAGCCATTGCAGTAGCAGCAACGTCAACGAGAAACAAGCCATTTTGAATCTTTTCTCCTTCTATAGCATCTACTATGCTCTGAACATCGGTTTTACCAAAATTGAATCTTTTAAAGGTTGTTACCACGTGGGGACAACCTTGGAAATATGATGCCACTTAAACCGTAGTTTTCCGCCATACTTTTAAACACCGCCTTTTTATCGGTGGATTCATTCACAAAATAGCGAATCCAACCTAAAAGACCACTATTAGAAAGAATTTCTGATTCCTGAGGCGATTCGGGAGATGCAATCGATAAAGCAGAAACTATTTGGGTTACTCCAAAAAGTTCCTGGGCTCGAGGAATTGCCTGTTTCAAAGGACAATTTCCACCAATACCGCCCTTGACAAATTTATCATTGCCAATTTCTACTGGAGTGTCAAAGTAAAATGGAGCATTTAAAGTTGCGAGCAAGACTTCGCAGGCCTTGTGATTCCCGTATTCTTCCCTTGAAGTATCAAACAGTATGTGATCTTCGTCTTCACCCAGTTTTCTGGCTACAGCACCGGCCTTGGGCTTAGAGGGATCCTTTCCGTCAAAATCACTTAAGCTGCAATCACCAAACTGATTATGCAAAGTTTTCTCTAAGTTGTCACGTGAATACGTTACTAGTGGAATACTAGACAACATGGGTGCGTGAGAACAAAACCAGTGTAAAAATGACTTCTGGAATATACTTCTTGTGTTCTCGAAATACATCTGAATGCACTCATCAACACTCATCCGTTCTCTTGTACTGTGGTCGCTTCCAAATCTTTTTCCACCAACCAAACAAAACGCGCTCAAAGCTCCAGAATTGTTACCAACAATCATGTCGTACACATCGGTAGGATGAATGGGATCTTTAACTGCTTTCAAATCACTGATCAGACGAAGTCTAACATCTTGATGTCCTAAGAAATTAACCTCACTTTTATTTAACTCTTCTTTCCCAAGATGGCTCACAGTCTCAGGATTTCTTAAGACAATCGTTGCTAATCGTAAAACATCATCTAAAATCTTAAGTTCCATCACACTTCGACTTCGTCCACCATCAAAAGACAATATATTAATATTCCTTTTCGTTGAATCCTCTTTGACGTTTGAAATCTGCATGTAAAAGCGATTAAGTAGTATATTTCAATGATTTCAACAACCCGTCCCTTCCCCTAGAAACCAGCAAGTCGTTTTTGTGAACAGGAGAGCGATCCAGTTTTAAGTCTGATCATAGCTACGGACCAAAAAACCCAGATTGTCGTGCATGCGATCATTAACCTGTTCGACTTAAGAATTTTGCCAAGTTTCTGTTGTGCATTCCGAGGGAATAATTTTATTTGCCGTCTTGTGTTTATTTGGGTATTAAGCATATTATGCGTCACATGTATTAACAACACATTGCATATGAAAAAATAGAAATGTTGTCCGACAACCAGAACAGACAACAAAAATTATACAAATCAGACTTTCGCCAAACATTTTTGATGCTTTGACACAAGTTTCGACAGTACATGAAAAAGAGGAGCATTCAACGGTTTGTTCAAAACTTCTGTTGTTCTAAACAAAACAATGCTCCACAAAGAACATGCCGTATTTGTACAGCAAAATAATTTGTAGTCGGATTACAAAAAACAGCAACTAGAAACTTGTCCTGAATATAACTATATATGATGAAATAACTTTATTTCGTATGGTAAAAACGCTTTTAGCTAAAACAGAAAAGGCTCTAAATAGCTACTTGTTTTGAAAACCGTTTCTGTTTTATAAGGCTTACATTGAAAAATAGTGTATTTACAACGTATCGAACTTAAACGATGTAACTTCTCTTGGAAAATCATCCTTCCAAATATTGTGCTTTTAAATGATAGTTACTGATCTCAGCCATGTGACGCAACGAGCATTGTTGGTCTTGTTATATAGAGTTTACAAAATTATTATTTATTTCTTCGAAAATCTTTTTTTTATAGTGAGTGAAGACCAAAATATCACCATAACTTAAGTACAATAAACGGGCTGACGCATGCCTGATTTTAGCTTACAAGCCATCAAGCATAGAAAGACGGAGTGCCACATGACAAAGAAAGTCGCTTACGCAAAATCAATGGATTTTTGTGCGCTTGTGCTGTAATGAGCATTGACGCAATTGTTTTGAGTCATTTATCAGAAAATTTATGTAAATGAATATTTCTACAACGCACCTCATTTGACTGGAGAGAAGAGTTTGCCTTCCGTGTTTGAAGTTGGCCACGATAGCTCAGAAAGCCAGGACAAAATGAAACTTTATTAAAAGTGAAAGGTTTTATGATTCGTGAAATCGCTGCCCAAAATAGACGTCCAGTGGCCATCGCAGGAGGTTACTATTTAAAAAGGAATGTCAAAAAATTGAATGCTAGGCCATTCTGCACTAATTAGCAATGTTAGAACACTGCTTGCTTTAAAAAAATTTGTCGTTTATTTTAAATGTCTTATAACCATTGTGCTCTTACGAAATTATGGCAATGTTAGAACATTCATATTTAAATTACACTATTTGCAAAACCAGCAACTACATTGCACGGGGACTATAATGTCCTAACTAGAAAAAATTATGTGGCTATTAGCTAGTAAGAACATCATTTAAGAAATTTCTAACAAACTCAACAGAATTTTTACATACTATACATTCTTTTTACAATTGTAAATAACGTCTAACAAGCACATTACCCATGCATTTTTATAAGTAGAATACCAAGTTTTTGATTAAATATCATGACATAGGATTAACACAACTCAAAAAATAAGGTGTTTCCTCAACAAGAATGAAGTTATAAAAATATTCAATCAACAAAAGACCGATAATACTGGCATTTATCACTGAGCAGTAATTCAAATCAGCAATTTATTGAACAAATTTTAAGGCTTCAACAGAAGTTTTAGCTATTTATCTAACTTGATATGAAAATAAGCAACCTTCGACATGCACCTATAGTCTGTCTATGTAAATATAAAGTTGATCTACGCTCTACGGAATAAAGTATTAGGTATTTGTAGATAAAAAAACCTGTTGATTTTACTAACTAAAATCTTAAAACAGTTATTTCAAAATAGCACTGTTCCAAATATTAGTTTTAAATTATCATAAAATGAAATTGAATGTTCTCAAACAGACACGTTGAAACGTCTTGTTCTAAATAACTCCCCTCTTTGAAAATAAAGGGACGTATTTGGATTTGGAGGTTGAATTTGGTTGAAATAAGAGTAGTCTCAACAGTAGTTAAGGTGCAGGTATGGTCCCGGAAGTAAACGGAGCTCTTACCCGTGTCAATTAGTTTCCAGTCCTAGGAAGTAAACAGGGCGCGCGCGTGTAAACCGGAAACGATATAAAATGAACGAAGGTTGCTATTGGATGACATGATTAATTGAAACACGATAAAACTTAATTAAAATTGTCAATTGTTTTCTATTCTTAAAGCAATATTAGATCCGTTTTCTTGTTTCTTTCGCAAAAATAAAAAAAGGAGGACACGTTACAATTTTATTGAGTTAAAGTTATTTGGTAATTTTTGTCTTACTAAAACGAAAATGGCTTTAAAAGTAGACATTGAGCAAGCAAAGAAAGTGAAGGAATCGTCCTTCGAATTTGAAGATGAGAGCAATGTTTTAGATGAACGCCAAAGCAATATACAGAACGAATTGTTAAAGTGCTATGCTACTGAAATTGGTTTTAAAATATACGAGCTTGTGGCAAAAGACTGTGACGGTTGTCGCGTTGACCATCTCTCACAAAAACGCCACGAATGCTTGATGATGCCTAATGATGAAAGGGTAGCGATATATTTTGAAGATGCAGTGTCAAAAATTGATGAGGAAGAAGTCATGAAATCCTTCTTTGATAGTTTACAAGACATGACTCCGATAGTAAATGGGCTAGAACTTATCAAGTACACTTGCAATGATTGGAGAAAATTATTTTTGACAGAAAAAAAGAACAAATTAGAACATGAGACTTTGATATTCTTAAATAAATTTTATTGAAATAAAACATTTTTATTTTATTGGAAAAAACTAGCAACGATCACTCTGAAATAAAAAGAAATCAATCTTACTGATTGTTCTACTGTATCAATTTTCAAAAGATAAAGAATTATAAAAATACATACTCAAAAAAATCTTCGAGAAATCTGTCGACTTCTTCGTCAAAACATCTAGAGTATAAAGCAATGGACATTACATAAAAACGACTACAACATTTAGCAAGCATATTAAATATATCACTTACAAGCATATGGGACATTGAAATGGCAAGCACTCCCCAAGCCTCTCTTCTACTAAAGATAAATGAATTTTATGCCCGCAGCTCGGTGGGCAGATCAACCATAGATGGCAGTGTTCACATTGGCCTAAAACAATGAACAAAATAACAACTTAAATTTTCTAAAGTTATATCTAACATTGAAATTGTATTCCAATTCAACTTACTCAAAATGGGCCTAATTGTTTGAGATGTAGCCATTCCTCTATCTGTTGTTTCTCTTTGCTCTCTTTGCCTTCGCCGTTGACTGATGATTTTTGCTTAAGACTTTGGCGTGAGTCCTTTTACATGCACATTATTGACATAGGCTGTTAGGTCAATGCTTTATAATTTGAATGAGCTGTTTCACCCAGTTCCAAGTAAAATCATTTACTGCTATGGCGAACCTCAGATGGAGTTTGACGAAATGGTTAAAAGGATACCGAATGTAATTTTTGTGGAAGGGTTCCCTGACAACTTGACCAATATTTTGGAAGGATGTCAAAACTCTTTAGTCATTGTAGACGATCTTATGTCAGAATGTTCTAATGATCCACGAATGTCTGATTTATTCACCCGTGGGTCACATCATCGAGGGATATCTGTCATGTATTTAACGCAAAATTTATTCCCTCGGGTAAACAATCAAGAGCGATAAGCCTTAACTCTCATTATATGATTATTTTTAAAACCCGAGATTCTCTAGGTATTTCAACATTGGCCCGTCAAATGTACCCTAAAAATGTCAACTACATTTTGGAGTCGTTTCAAGACGCTACGAGTCGTGCATACGGCTATCTCATGCTCGATTTACATCAATTAACACCTGACAATATGCGTGTCAGAACAAATATCCTGCCTGATGAAAAGCACATTGTGTATGTACAAAAGCGATAATAATCGACATGAACAATCATTTAAGCACTATGTCTAAGCGAATTAGGAACAATCTTCCGTATTTGCAAGTACTCGCAAAATCTAAACCAAAAGTTCGAAAGGTGATAATTGAGCATGGACCCTCCGACATTATTGTGTGCATATGTGAATGTGCTATCAATGTTTTAAAGCAACTGTTCCAGTATCTGCCAGTCAAAAGCGAGTGTTGTCAAGGTACAAGAAACATCTGAGAGCACTAGCTAACAAAAAATCTCACGAGCAAAGAAGAAAAACTTTTAATCAAAAGGAAGAAATCTGCTGACTGCGTTACTACCTCCGGTTTTGACAGTGCTAGGTAGTTTGTTGACAAAATGAAGCATGCCAAGCGTATGATTCTTGTACCTGAAGATGTATTTAACAGATACGAAAAACAACAAAAACTTGAAACTAGTCCGATCATGATGAATATGATGAGTAAAGACTCGCAGCTCTCGCATATTCTTCAACAAGACGACATGAGTGACGATCAAAGACAAAAACTTTTTAACGCAAACTTTGAACAATTCCTTAAATTGAAGCAACAGAAAGATAATCAGATACCCATGGTACGTGTGGTAGACACTGTTGATGGGAATGAAAAAAACATAATAAGTAACAACGAAAATCAGACATTAGCTGACTCTGTCATTGTACAAAGTGTGCCAAAAACTATGCGTGAGCGGGCGAAAGCAATATTGCAGCGCCTTAGAACATACCCAAGTATAATATCTTGGGACGGTTCTGGACAAGTCAAACTTGAGGGAGTCACCATTCCGCAATCAAACATAACAGATCTAATTAGCGATGCTGTGAGAGGAAGGAAAAATTTCAATCCTAAAGGGTCTAAAGAATTCTTTCGTGTTTTATCAAAAATAAACATTCCTCGAGATTTGGTTAGGAACGATATGAGATGGAAGGAGGCTCAAATGGAAACTTCACCACGTGAAGAAAACGAAACAGTTTATCCTAGTTCATCAAAAACGAAATTCATAACGCCCAAAGCTTCCACTACACACAAGAAAACTCAATTACGTTGGTTAAGCTATTAATATGTCTTGTAAAGGATTTTTTCTTTAAATAAAAATCGCAGTTGATATCATTTTCCTCTTTGTTGTCAATGAAAATATGTAAATACAAAATGCAAGCAATTAAGTCACACAAAGAACTTTTTATTCACTATTAAACACTTCAATCTTTTACAAATAAGTTTGTACTTGACTGATTTCCGTTGTTAGGGATTACACTAGTTTCTATTTGAAAATGTTTGTTTACAAAATTCGATACCTTCTTATCGTTTTCAACAGTATTACCATCAAACATGCTTACAATTCTACTCATACTATGGCCTCGCACTCTTTGGCTTAGGTAAAATATACAATATTGTCCACATACATCGGTCCAAATACTTTGTAATTTGCGTGCATTAAAATCCCAATCATAATGTTTCAAATAGTCTCTAAAGAATTTATGATAAGTCTCAGGCGACTGGCCATAGCTGTCGAAGAATTCGGCTTTTCGTTCAGACGGAAAGTAAAATGCAACCCAATGACTTCCAGGTTTTCCGCTGATATCGGTGTTTGCTATAAACCCATTCGGATAACTTTTGATTACTTTAGGTAAACGATTGGCTGGAAAAACACCAAGAAATTTCTTGCTTGTAACAGGATCCGATCTCAAAGCAGACGATATTTGTGAGGTGTTCATTCAACCGATGTAGTCATAGACAACATTCCTTTCAGAATCGATAAAGATCACGTTTTCAAACTCGCCATAGCACACAAGACTAACAGCATTAGTTGGTGCTGTTGAGAATTGTATGTCAATGGCAAGATTTCCTTTTTGCACTGTATTAAAATGTTCTCCCGTACCACACATATCAGGCGTCAAATCAAAACAGTACAAAGCAAAACCCTTTAGAAACTCGTCACGATCAATTCCATTTCCGGCGTTCAAAAACATTTTCCAGTGCCAGCAAATTGTGATAGAAATGCTTCTATGTATCTAGGATTGTTACCAAACGACAGCTTGAAAGGTTTAGATGGTAGAGATTCGCCGTTTACAGAAATGCCTAAGGATGAAACGTTGAAATGCTGGAAATTGAATGGGTTTAATTTATAAGCACCATTGAATGCAGCACTTGCAACAAGACCGACGACAAGTGATTTCGGTACCAAACCGTTGAAAAGGTTATCTTTTTGCAACGACGGGTTTCCTGATGGAATGATGAAACTTTTGCAGTCCACACGCCTTACAGGGTAAACGGCTGGGCTTTTTTTCAGTGCAACTTCGTGAGACATAGCTCTACTAGGATTCACTTTAACTTTGCGAACTTTTAGATAAACATCCACCAGTTTCACTTTAAATGCTGCATCGTCCTCGGATGCCATTAGGGCAAACTCGTCACTGGTACGGTTCAATACCACTTTCAAATCAACATAGCTAAGCAGGAGGCGTTCACCGAAGAAAACATCACAAAATATAGGGCCTCCCATTTCGACAATTGCACTTCTCGCACTAAACTTACTTCGTGTTTTCAAGCCTTTGTTTGGACTGGCGTTTGCTGGGTCGGCAACCTCCATTTTTGAAGCTTCGTCCTTGTAAAACAACGCAGCTGTCAGCTGGGATTGTTTAGCTGATGGACCATAATTCAAAAGTGTATCGATATATGCACGATAAGGATAAGTTCCTGTCGCTTGGGTTACTAGCTTCCCTTTCAAAAACACATCAACTTGCTTAAACAAACTATGCAAGAAATTGTTCACCGGTCCTTTTTTAGCGCCATCGTCAAGATTTCCACCGTCAGCTTTCGTTACTTTTGCTCTGACCATCAACATTGTGTTAGACAAGTCAACATAATCTTCTGTACCTGGCGCTAAAAAGGTAATCGGACCGCTTTCAGATACACTAGAGACAGGTGGATGGTCTATCCATCGCCCCTTTTCCAAACTGGTTTGCGTTGGGGTACGAAAAATATATCAAGTTCACTTTTTGTACATTCTGCTGATTTTGGATGAACGAACTCCATATTTAACCGAAAATATCTTCTGCTTCTTTAGCTGCTTTATGTCTCTTGGCTGAATGGTAAATGACATGAGAAGACGATGCTTTTCTCTTTTTAGCTGTTTTTTTTGCCTGTTTCTTCTGGGGTTTTCCTCTTCCTGTTTGAGCAAACTGTTGTATACGGTTTACAGCTTTTTTCCCTGTTTCTTTTGCTGCTTGATTAACACGAGATTTTGCAGACTTTTTAAAACTTTTCCCTGAGATAACATCACCCAAAACGTTTGCACCTGTATCGAGGGCAATTTTACCTAGAGTTTTTGCGCCGGTTTTTGCCAAAGGTATTGCAGCTCTAGCCAATCTACGAAATAAACCACCAAGACCATAACCCATCTGCCCATAACCTTTTTGCCAGGATGCTCCTCTAAAGACAGGTTGTGATCCGTATCCTTTTTGCTGATTGAGATAATATTGAACATAACGGTTTGTTCTACTCATATTTTTTTTTCTTATGTAAAATAAGATAAGGATTGTTTTCTGAAATGAAGTGTCACTATCGACTTCCCTCGTTCAAATGCGATGGGATTTCCTAACTCGTCCCTTAAGAGAATTTCGATGTCCTCAAAAGATTTTGTTTGCACGGGTAAGTATTGGATATTAGTGAATGTTCTTGAAACAATGTCTCCATATTTTCCTTGAATAGCAACTGCCTTTAGTAATTTTACATTGACGTCTCCAACAACTTGCGGTTGTACAATGTTGCAATATACATACATCATGACGGATCCGTGCAAATCACAAGCATAAGGACTTTCGGTTTTTTTTAAAATCTCTACATCTTTTCCGCCAAAGCCGAGTAAGACCGACATTCGTTGATTAAACGATATTCTGTAACCCTGTCTTACATGCACTTTAATTTTTTCTGTTCGGGGGTCAAAGCTCAATTTGATATTGTCTTTTACTTCTTTGTCAAGAGTCTCGTTAACTGATTTTACTAGGTCGAAGGCTTTTTCATACAAGCCATAGTCGACAAATACCGGAGTAGGTAGACCTGTTTTGTGAGTTACATATATATGTGTATCCAAACCTTTTTTCAACGTGTACCATGTATGAGGATATGTAATTGAATATAATCCTACTTCCCAATTACCATTTAAATTCACAACGTGAGGTAGTTTTACGCGATAACCTGAAATCTTATTCTCAGGAAATACAGAGAGAGATGCATTACCAGGTAATGTCAGATAAAAGTGTGTCCCGCTCATCTTTAAGGTATAATGTGAAAGCCTTGATCCGTTTGAATGTGTGTCGGTTTACGCCCTGATGACAAAATCTTTTTAAAAGCTTCTACCAACGACGATCCTGTTTTCTTTTTTAATGGAACAGCCCATGCATATTTGGAAAAAACATCAATACAGATAAGAAGATAGCGATAACCATCATTATACTTTTGCAAAGATTGCATGTCTGCAAGATCCAATTGCCACTGGTCGTCAATACCACTCACTACGACACGATTTCTTTCAAACTTTCTTCGAATAGGTTTATGCAAAGAGTATGCGTCTTGTTGCATGAGCCATTCTTTAATTCTTTCACGATTAATGTCATATATTCCTTCTGCCTTTACATCGCGGTACAAACGTTCAACACCTCCGTAGCTTCCAGGACGTTTTGGATTGAAGCATATACCGGCTAAGTACTGGTCAACGTTACTCATGACAATGTTCTCGTGATAATAATTTGCAATTAGATGTCAATTTCTTTTAACTACTCATTATCGACGGGTTCATTGTTTTCAGTTACAGGCAGTGTTTCTTCTATCGCATTATCTGTTGGAAGTTTATTTGCGGCGGGTCCATAATTTTTAACAGTTTTACTTGTGTATCCTGCTTGCAAATGACCCTCAAGATTGAGATCGTTGCGTCCGAAACTTATACCCAAGCGAAACATTTTCTGACGATTATGATTTTTATCCCTTTTTGCATTTCTATTTTCACGTTTGCTGCTGCCGATTCCCATTTTCACAATGACATGGTCATAAAACAACTGAAGTCAAAATGCGATAACATTGAAATTTATATTTTTCTTTTTTCTTTTTGTCAAAGCAATTACATAGTTGATTTGTATTTCAGTTTACAACTACAATCAACATAGTCAAAGAGATGTTGAAAAAAAGGAGGACGTTTGGTCTCCGTGTAAATTAACATTAGTTCTACCCAAGTAGCACTAAACAGTTTGTCAAAATATGTCTTGTGAGAGTTCGAAGGTCCACAGTTCTTTAGAAACTTAAAGGCTTCACATATTCCATTCCAGACATGTTCGCGATTAATTGTTTCGACTGCTCGAGCTGTAAAATTGAACTAACGATCTTCCTCAGTCATCATTTCTAAAACGTTTTGATACTCTACCCAAGGATCTGCTTTACTTTCATCCTTTTCAGCTCTTCGTAGCTCTTGAATCTTTTTACTTATAAAATCGACGAAAATCAAATTGATAAGATCGCTGTGACTAACTTCTTCAAACTCAACAGTGTCTGCATATATCTGATTAAACATGTGTGCCATATTTTTTGTCTTTTTTCAAAACGTCCAAAAGCAATGCAATAATGAACAACGCAAATAACATTTTTTAAGACGATAGTTCGACTATATAGTGAATCGTGTAATGAAATACATTGAGGGCTTTAAGACATTTTATTGGATTCTTTAATAAATTAGATAATATTTCTTGTCAATTGTTTCATTTCCCTTTATTATGATAACCTATCACATTCAACATTCCCCCGCTAAGTTCGTTTCCGGTTTACACGCGCGCGCCCTGTTTACTTCCTAGGACTGGAAACTAATTGACACGGGTAAGAGCTCCGTTTACTTCCGGGACCATACCTGCACCTTAACTACTCTCAACTGCTTTATAATCGCAAATTGTTCACAATACATCGTCTTCATCTCGCAAAAATTGGTCACAATTCAACTTAAATTCTGTTGTTGAAATGCACATGCTACAAAAAAACAGCGCGATATAATAAAGAAGTGCGAAATACGGCTTAATACGGCTTGATACATAATTAAGAAATTAACAGCAATAGGAAAAAATTACTTTGTTTTTAGTGTTAAAGTACAAAGTAGGTTTGATTGTTCTGTTCAAGTTTAGTAGTGAAAGAGCAGTTTATTCTAAGTGCTATATATGTTGACTAATTAAAGTATGGTAAAATATTGACATGACAATCTTTCTTTAATCAAAAAGGTGTTCTTTAAAAACAGTTTCCATTTTTTTTGTTAATTAAGTTGGAGCAATTTAAAAGACCGTATTTTCAATCACCGCAATGGAAAGGGTGGCTACAACGGAGTCAACCATAACACAACCATGAATTTTATGTCAGCTCATCGCATTTGCGAGTTTAGGAAATACGTTTTTAAAACTGCATTATTCAAAATAATTGTTCATAACTATCATATTTTTTCAAAACAGCTTAAGCGAAACTTTATCGAAATAGCATACTGAAAAAGCTAACAGGCAGCAGCAATTTAAGAAAGTATCTATTGAAATCGCATATTTTAAATAGTTTCTTTTGAAATGGTATTGGTTAAAATAGAATGATTTGAAATGTATATGATCGAGAATAGATACCATAAGACCTAAAATTGTCAGAGTTTTGGCTATTTCGAAGATGGATTTTGGTGTACTTATGTGTAACGGTTATAGTTCATCATTTTCCCACATGTAATGTAAAACTATCAACAAACATTGTTCCACGAGCAAATGTTCTTATTTTTCTACGTAAAATTTATGCACATAATTATTTTCATGACACGCCTCTGTCACTTGGAGTAAAAAAATTGTTCACGTGAGAAAATCATGATAACTTTGCAAATCTCATATAAAAGATGCTGTTTGTTTCGACAAGAACGGAATTTGTAGAAAGGTCTTCTCCAATTAGACGTGCCGTTGTAATCAAAAGCCACAGAAGGTTCATATTTAGCTAGAAATATTAATACTAGCGTGTCGATTTGACTATCACTGATGCTACCATCAAACTAGCTTACACGAACCAATTTCCTTACCTGCTATATGAAGGAAATAATGCCCCTATATAAAATTACAACATTTTTGTGCTCTATTTTTAACGAATAAGCAGAAGTTTTAACATTTTTATATGACAGCTACTCTTTAAACTATTGAAATTTTCTTTAGAATAGTTATTTTATCTTGATCCTACTGCAATACGAAAAATGCTTGAACACACACGTTGCCTTTGTGCAACAGATTAATTAGTTGATATAAATAATTTCTAGCTTTTATATATTGTTTTTAATTGTATGAAAGGCACAAAAATTCCTGCACGTAATCTTTCATGCTTTTGTGCCTTCAGCTAACGGAAGTCGTACTTGGTGATACTTTGTAGAGTTACACTGGTATTAATTCAACCAAAACACGGAGTAAATGCTTTACATGGTTGCAAAAAGTACATCATGTAATAAGTGTTGCAATCTAACAAGTTGAGATTCGCATGAACATTCTTATAACACCCACTCCCAAAGCTTATAAAAATTGTGTTCAACAGAAACATTGCATATTTTACCTAGAACACTCATTCATAAGACTTTAACGAGTTTGACGTTTGAAACAGGCCTAATATAGAAAAGAACTAAAAATGACATCTCTTCGCAAAATCAATTCTTAAGGCTGAAACACACTAGGCAGTCGCTTTAGTCGCGCGTGGTTACTAAACTACCGCTTTGCGTGGTTACTAAGCTAGTAGCGTAGTCGCGTCAGCTAGTCGCTTTGAAAGTTCAACATGTTGAACTTTTGACTTTGGTCGCTTCAGTCGCTTTAC